ACATTCCATTCTTCTGGCTCTCCCTGGGAAGGAGAAGAGTCATGGTATAACACCCTCCCTCTTCCTCCAACACTGAGAATCACCGGTTACAAATCCTGTTACTGATCAATGTGGTTTATCTTTCTCAAATGTGTTGGGATGGAAAAAATTGAGAAGCTTGGCACATTATGTCATACGGCATGAGGAAACCGAGACTTGAAGAGGTGGCAATCTTGTCACATAGCAGAGATGTGGTGAAATCAAGCCTGCACATGGGTCTACAATAGTACTATGCAAATAAATCACGTTGATACCTTGTTAAAACACAGCTTCTGGTTTAGTAAGTCTGGAGCAGGGCCTGAGGTCCTGCATTTCTAACAAATGCTCAAGTGGTGCGGATGCTGTTACGCTTTGAGTAACAACACTCTAGAACATTCAGCTTATTGCTCTTTTTACTGTCTGTATGAGTTGCAGTTCTTCAACAACGAAATAGAGAATGGGTGAGGGTTTCACAGATAAGAATCTCAATATCTGTGTGCCTGGTGTCTAAGAGTAGAGGAAGGTCTGAATGGTAATGGAGACACAGAGGTGAGAGTGGAAAGACTCATCCAGACACCAAACACTCTGCTGGCTCTGCAATGCATTTCCTGCTTCAAAACTCCTCTAATTTTGGTGAAGACCAAAGGAAAGCTTATCAAAAAAACCCCATAAGCTGTTTAGCTGCCCATGTAATCTGCTTGGGGCTGTCAGTTAGAATCTTTCCCCTCCTGGGAAGGATAAATTGACTTTCTTTCTCTATAATCTTATGGAGTGCAATTCTCTAACAAGTAACAATCTAGGGAAGGCACATTACAAGTCATGGTAAGGCCTGAGAGACACCAACAACACATGCATCTTGGTCTATTCTGCTTTGCTGTAGTATAATAGGAAGATAGCAGAATATGCAAGGTGTTCCCAGATTTGGGCCTTGATCCTGGCTGCATTACTAACTTTATATGCAGTCTTGAATAAACCACTTTATTTCTCTATGATAAATTTTTCAAAAGAGCTTAATGATACTAGCATATGGACTAAGGTCTATATAAAGTGATGTACAAATTAATACTAGTGGCTCAGTGTAATCGAAAGACTGAAGCCAGTGTACCAATGAATTGAATTGTAGCCTGAGCCTTATACCCTGAAGCCTTTGATATGGAAGATCCAGCAATCAATTTTCAAATAAATGCCATCAGTTAACAGTTATCAGCTATAAGTTGGGCTCTTTCTCTGTCAAGTATCACTGAGTTTTGTGTCATTTTTGATTTGTGGTTCCATCTTACTGAGGAAATATATACAGAACCTATTAGGGACAGATATTTTATACTTTTCAATGTCATTGCTCACACAATCACCATCCCAGTGTCCCCACCGAAGCAGGGGACACTATGATTCACTCTCCTCTTTCCCATAAGAATTATGACATAATGTGTTTGCGGTGGGGATTGACTTATGATTGGGGTGTCAGGGAAAGGGATGGAATGGGAGATAGCAAGGACTAATGGTGGGAATGAAGGAAGACAAGAGATATTGAATCACAAACTACAAATATACCCCTGGATATCAACACTTTGTGTGCATTTGTGGTTTCAATACCTATTTATTGACAAAGGAGAGCCCAAGTCAGTTTTGTGAGAGTAGTCAATTATCAGAAAACTCCTAAGCCTGTCCCAGTCTCACCCCTTGTTCCTTTAACTTCTTTGCACCTGGGTTGGTACTCTAAGCTCATAACAGTGGGATTACGAAGCATGTGAGTATTACAGGGAGATAAATCAGGATGCAAAGATCCTTTATTCATCTACTTTGAAGAAGGCAACTGGGCAGTGTATAGGAGCAACATTCAACTCTGTGAGTATTTCTCAACTTCTGGGGTTGAAGTAGGTTGTAATTGCAAGGCTTTGTGGGTGGTGGAGGGTTGATCTGGCTCTAAAATAAAGAAATGGAAGAAAACACACTGAACCAGTGGGCCTGGACTGGGGCCAGGAATGAAACTGGGAGAAAACATGAAGGAAATACATCCAAATTGCCTTATAATGTCATGCAGCCAGCTAATAAGTAAAATTTGATTATTACAAGGTCACTGCAAAACTTGATTACTAAACTCATTTTGAAAGAACCCTAAACTGACTCCTTTTTTGTGGTTTCCAGTTTTCTGGGAAAGGAGGGATCTGGGGCACTAAATGACCATAGAACAAACAGTTCTTTACTCCCAGGGTGTGCTTGAAAAAGACCAAAATACAAGAGGAAGGACATGAGAGTGTGAGGACAAGGAGAAAGAGAATCAAGAGCAGCTGGAATGACCCCAGCGCAGTGTGGGTGGCTTAGCCTTCTTCCTCGGAGGTCAAAGTGTTTGTTTGTTCCAGTATGAAAGAAGGTACTAGCTGGACTTTTGTTTTTGTCTTTTCATGGCTTTGGTTTGGGTCTTTCTTGGCTTTCCACATTATTTGATTCTCTCTGCCACAGCAGGATTCTGGTGACATTTATGGGCCCAACCCCATCAGCGCAGGGAAACCACTCCTGCACCTATCTCCTCCTCACCCCCTCTCTTAGCCCTTCAACAATAGAATTGTCTATTTGCTTATATCTTTGCTGAGAAGGAGAGACCTGGAAGTCTGGGGTGATAATAGCAGCATCAGAAATCCTGACTCCGGACCTTCTAAAACTGCTCTTCCTTAGCTGGGATTTATGGATGATCATCCTCCGTAGCTTCCTACAGCTGAGCTCTGCTGCCTTGGGTCCAAGGTGACATGAACCCTGGTTCCCTACAAAACCATGCTTTGACATATTACTTTGCTGCATCCACTTCCTTCTGCAGAACAACAGTTCATACTCTTCAAAAGGGAAAGGGCTAACATTGCTTTAAAAACAGAAAGCCATTCTGTCTCACAAAGGAATGAATTACTTGACACTTTGGGGAGGAAAAATGTGAAACATCTTCTTACAGCTAAAAGCAAGTCTGACATTAGATTGAGGATTATTTAGCATGGGGATGCCCTTTTAATTCCTGGGAAAGCATGGGCAGAGTAAGTTTAGCCTCTGGTGATATGTGTAGTGGACAAGACTAACTCCCAAGGCAGGAAAGGGTCATATTTGTTCTGCTTCTGCCAAAGGTTTTACAGGGAGCACTGGAGGGCACATCCATGACAGAAACACTCTGTGAGTTAGTTGATTATCCTACATACTCAAAAATGAAATATTATACATGAAATGCACAATAAACATAAAATTCTTACCTATAGTGCAAACCCTGAGTATCATGAGGATCCAGGGATTAACCAGGCAACTGTTATATAACTCTTTCTGAAGAGAATCCCTTTACATAATACATCACACCTAGACAGGAACGGGAACTCCATCTGAGCCTAGAGGTGCAACTTCAAAATTATATATGTAAATATGCAAAAGAAATTTACAAGAAAAAAGGGGAAGTATAATCAAGGAAAGATGGAAATCAAGTGTGAGTTTTAAGTTCTTTGGGGCTGCTTTTGGGGATGTCATAGGAATCCAAGGAAAGCTTAAGGCAGAATTTCAAGACCAGACATAAATTAATAGGATGTTGAAGGGATACAGAAGATTACCCAGCCAAGTGCTGATGACAGTCACCTCTCTGGTACATGATAAGGGCTCTTCAAAGGTTGGCCCTGGTGATTAGTCACAGATTAGTCAATGTGTTTCTGTGGAAGAAGTTGAGAACTAGCAGGAGAAAATGAAAATAGTAATTGAGGAAAAGAAGATAAGGAAAAAAATATCCTTTAGGCAAGGATAATAATTTAAACTCATTTTGAAAGTAATAAGAAAAAGTTGATGAACTCGAAGTCATACAGTATAACATTTGAGGCATGTTCAGTGTGGTGGAGAAAGAGAAAGATGGTTAGCATGGGCCAAAGATGGTCAGGGAGAGCTGAAGCTAAGAATATTAGCATAAATCTATAATTTGTAGATTATATAAATAAATAAGTCTTCCAGGTAGCAGAGCATGGAAGGGTTTAGCTCAGGGTAAGAGATTAAGGCTACTTAGAAGTTCTTTGGAAATTTTTTAGAATCTTCCTTCCCAGGAAAAGTGTTATCAACTTTTGTGATAGAAAAGGAGAAAGAAGAAAAGTCATCCTTTAGCTTAACATATTTACTTTTAAAATTTATCTTGTTGATGCATCTCTATTTGTACTTGAAGAATGACAATGTACATTTCTATAGCTAAAATCAAAGTCTGTGAAAATCATATTGGATAAGTCCATGATTTGGATAGGAGAAAATGTAGAACATTTCAGAGAAATGGGTGGCTAAAGAACCTCATGTCTGGATATGGAGTTAAAGCATAAAATTACTACTTAGTCACCTTCCATTGATTTTCCTGTGTGTGTGTGTGTGTGTGTGTGTACTGGGATGTATCACATACTACATGGGGATTAGATGTTTCTGGCTCAGAGCTCCCCTGTCCAGATGACTACTTTATTGTTCCCCAGAACTAGGAAAGAAGTATCTTGATTACATGAGGTTTAAACAAAGTAAGGACTGTAAAGTAAAAAGCCCATAAAATATGAGGAAATAAACATTAAGAGTCAGGTTATTGTGTAGTTGGGTGGAAAAATATTTAAAGCTTAAAGAATGTATCAGTGCTGTAAAGACTATAGATAGCATTTAGTCCATTTCCCTCTTTTCACAGATGGTGGAAGTGGTGATCACAGAGGGGCAGTACATACCATAATAAATTCACAGAGGAAGCTAGTGATGATTTATTGACACAACGCATCTACCTAGATTTTTGGTTTGTAAAAATCTATCTGTTGTCAGTCTACATCCAACTACATTGAGTGCCTCCATTGATTTATACCATATTTTCTTGAAAATCTCTTTAAAAGTCGGTAAGTCCTTCCCTTTTGTGCACACAAAGTCCTGAGCTTTTCTGGCGTTTCCAGTGAGGATCTAAGAAGCAATGGTCCCTGTACCCTGAAGGGCCTTTTTTTTTTTTCCTCTCACCATCTAAGGAACCTGAAAGAGAACCATCAGACACCCAGGGACATCAGAATGAGTGACAATGCTACTTTGGTTCCTCCAGCTTCAAAGCAGGGTCCCACTACCCCACGCAAGGGGCCCCCCAAGTTCAAGCAGAGACAGACTCGCCAATTCAAGAGCAAGCCTCCTAAGAAAGGTGTGAAAGGGTAAGACCAAAATGAAAAAGAAGACTTTTTGTTTTTTTGAGAAATTAATGCTCCCAATATTAAATAGACTTACAAAGATTTCCACCCCATCCTCTATTTTCCTCTCTACAACGATCTTTGCTGAATCACGTTGTTAGCCCTGGAAGGCTTTCTCTCTCACCCCTCAGGTTTGTGGTCACACTTAACATGGCAAATGGAGCCTGTCACAGCAACCTTTGACTTGACCTTCCAGACTTTTCTTGACCACTCCTCTTCACCAGTACACCTTGTGGTTTGATTTTAAAACACTTTCCATTTCCAGAACATAGGGTTTATTTTTATAGCTTCAAATGTTAAGTCTTCAGTTCTTTATTCTTCTCTTTCTCTTCTTGGCAAAATCCTACTTATTTAACATACTCTCATATGTTAATTTCTCTTTTGAGGCCATGACTGACTCTCTTAGACAAATGTGATCATGGCTTCCATGTTTGCATTTTGTACATTCAGCTGTCATAACCTGTATTGTTTTACATTACATTTGTTTATTTACGCCTGTTCTCTGAAACTGAAGTTCGTCAGAGAAAATTAGCTTTTTCCTCAATTCCCTATGCTTAATACAATGCCTGGCACATAGTAAATGCTTGATAAATGCTTTTGGGTAGCTAACCAAATGGATGAATTAATCATTTAAATGTCTTTCGTACTGTGTTTTCATTCCAATTTCTTTTTTTTTCTTTTTTAAGATTTTATTTATTTATTTATTGGACAGCGCAAGAGAGCACAAGCAGGGGGAGAAGCGGAGGGAGAGGGAGAAGCAGACTCCCCGCTGAGAAGGGAGCTTGATGTGAGGCTGGGTCCCAGGAGCCTGGGATCATGACCTGAGCCGAAGGCAGACACCCAACCGACTGAGTCACCCAGGCGACCCTCATTCCAATTTCTATTTTTAAAAGTGGAGCTTGACTAAATTGCCCCAGGGATAGTTCTATTTGGCTCTCAGTTGTCTTAGGCTAAATTTTTAGGAGGGGAAAATCTCTCCACAGGGACACACTGTCTGAAACCAGCCTGAGTGACTTTATCTTTTCCCCAGGTCAAGCAAATAAAAGATACTTCTCAAAGACAGAAAGTTAAACCTCTTCTTTCCCCCTTAGTCAGGAAGCTCTCGGTATGAGATCCTTTCACTCTGATGTCAGCTAATTTTTCTTTTTTTCCCATAGGTTTGGAGATGACATTCCAGGCATGGAGGGGCTAGGAACAGGTGAGCCACCCAAGGCCATGGACTTTCACTTGGAACTTCACCACTAACCATACTTTAGGCCTCAAAGGGCCATGAAAAATTACAAGAAATAGCTAAGGCAGCAGATCCTTGAAGACATAGAAGTGTGGGGCTTAGTTTAATCTCCTAAGCAAGTACATATGTGCCCAGAGGCAAAAACTCTAACAGAGATCAAGCTAAGGTCCAAAGATACTAAATCCTCTTGTTCTGTTAAACAACACTTGAGGACATCTAATGGTGAGTTGTAGACTTTCATGGTAGAAAGATTCTCAGGGTTCATCTATCCCAACTTCATCCTTTCTTCAGAAGAGAAATCTGAGACAGAGAGGAATGAAGTGACAATCTGAGGCCACAGAGTGAGGTACTGGAAACAAGGGAGGGGCCTGGAGAACTTTTCACTCTACCAGACAAACCACTCCCTAACCAACTTCCTCTTTTTACATATCCTCTGGCACTCCAATACAATATTTTTTAGTCGGCTAGTATAATTTGATTTGTTGGATATGAATGAAAACAACTGGATCTTCCTTTTAAAAACCCTGAACTTTATTTTTTACAGCTGTTTTAGGTTTACAGAAAACTTAAGCAGAAAGTATGGAGCTCCTCCATACACCTGTACCTAGTTTCCCCTATTATTAGCATCTTGCATTAGTGTGGTACATTTGTTACAAATGATGAACCAGTATTGGTAACATTATTATTAACTAACATTCACAGCTTATATTAGGATTCATTCTTCGTGTTGTCCAGGTTTTGACAGAGGCACAATGTTGTGTATCCATCATTACAGGTATATACAGAATAGATGCCCTAAAAATCCCCTGTGCTCCACCTGTTCATCCCTTCTCCCACCCTCCACAAACTCATGACAACCACGAATCTTTTTACTCTCAAAAGTTTTGCCTTTTCCAGATTGTCATGAATCATACAGTATATAGATTTTCCAGCCTGGCTTCTTTCACTTAGCAATATTTACTCATTTAAAGTTCCTCCATGTCCTATATGGCTTGACAGTTCATTTTTTTTACCACAGAATAATATTTCATTCTATGGCTGTATCACAATTTGCTTATCCTATTAAAAGATGTTTAGTTGCTTCCAAATTTTCACAATTATGAATAATACTGCTATGAACACCATTGTGCAGGGTTGTTTTTTTTTTTTTTAAGATTTTTATGTATTTATTTGAGAGAGAGAGAAATAGCAAGCGAGAGAGCATGAGAGGGGGTGGGAAGAGGGAGAAGCAGGATCCCTGACAAGCAGGGATCCCGATAGGGAACTCCATCTCAGGATCCCGGGATCATGACCTGAGCCGAAGGCAGACGCTTAACAGACTGAGCCACTCAGGTGCCCCATTGTGCAGGTTGTTGAGTGGACATGTTTTCAACTCATCCAGTACACTTTTGATAAATGGTGTAATCAGTAATCAGTGTCCTTACCAGGCAATTCTCATTGTATTTGCTTTTAAGAGTTAAATGCCACTCCTGAGATCTCAAATACATTTTCCAGCTATTTTATAAAGGTCATTTGCTATTCTCCTAAATCAACTGCTTTTGTATTTTGGCCAGATGTACATAAGACTAGCAGATTTGCTTTGGGTTCTGGAGGATATGCTTAACTCTGCCAACATATTTGGAATACTGGAAAGAGCTTTATACTGAGGGGAGATCTGAGATCTTTGAGTTGGTTTTAGTCCCATCTCTATAACTCTGATTTTTCTGTAGGTATTTAATCTCTTTGTGTTCTAGTCAGCTTCTCTGTAATTCAGGGATAATAATATTTTATTGCTTGAAGCAAAAAATTGGATTAGCAGATGCCTTGAGATTACTTCTCAGTATGTGACTGGATATAGTAGACATTTCAATATGTAAAGGAACTAAAAAGTGAGTCAGAGAAGAATGCATCTGAATGGGTAGGGAGTAAGAAGGCAGTAGATTTCCAGGTCATGGGAATTTAAAATGCTTCTATTTCTCATTTTAAGCCTTGGCCTGACTAGAATTCCACTCGTGTTCCTTCCATAGTGGTTGTGTTTTGAGGAGGCCCAGTTTGATCAGTGACCAGCACCCCTCCACCCCCACAGGCTAGCTCCAGTCAAAAACCTTGGGTCATCTCTCCAAAGAGGTATAGAATGAAACCAATGAAGATGCCTACCTAGGGGGGCCTGTTCTGGGGGCATCAGAACCCTGCAAGGGATTAATTAAGCAATCAGTCAAATTCTTCCTGGGTGGCAGAGCCATTCTAGATAACTTCCTGGCTACTGAGACAATGAATAGGAGAGAGGAGTGAGGTGTCTCTGCCCGAAGGATGTCTTCTTGAGCAAAAGAAGTCTTCTTGAGGCTCTGAGGGGCAGGGGGAGAGGTTGGCTTACAAGTTCTTCCCTCTCTTGCAGATATCACGGTGATTTGTCCCTGGGAGGCATTCAGCCACCTGGAATTGCATGAGCTTGCTCAATTTGGGATCATCTGATGCACCAGAGGTTCTGCCATCAACAGCATCTGCTGGAATTTTGACTACTTTTGCCCTATTGATCTGCCAGAGTCTTGAAATTCAGCACCGTTCGGTAGTGGTTTCTTCAGCTTACAGTTTCTTCAGCTTACACAGTCGTTTCCCTAAATTGCTACAAAGAGTTCTCTTAGTGTCAGACTCTCTCTTGCCATACAGTTCAGCTTGGAATAGTGGATGCAAATTGACTTTTGTTAGGGCATTTCAAACTTGACCACCTTTTCCTATCAGCTGGTTAGAATTCATTGATAGTTCTCTGAATTTTGTTTGTTAAGTCCTTCAAATCTGTTTGTAGTAGGCATTCCCTGTAATTAGTAGTAGCTTTTTAAGATGACATTTATGTCACTCCCTTCCCTTTCTCATTTAATAAAGGAGATACTTACCTTGAATCTAATGATGCAGTTGTATTAAATGCTATATGCAAATATCTGATGCCCTGTTCTGAGAGCCAGTTAAACAAAGAAGGCACAGTCCTCCAGGAAACAAGCACAGTGCATATGAAAGAGCACAGGAATAAGAGTCAAGCCTGATTCTGCTTTGTAAGTTAGTAAATTTTGCACATTCTTGGTCTAAATTTTATTGAACTGGATTATCCCTGAGGTCCTATGCAGCTTGTACAAACTGGACAGCCTTATGTTGATGGAAGACTGGTGATTTAAACTCAGGAATCTGATAATGTGAACCTTCCTTTTAGTGCCTTGGCTCAGTTAATTGACAAGATTTAAATGCTATAAAGTTTAGATTCAGATGCAAAGACAGGTAGTTGAACCCTCTAAATAAAATGATGGGTTGCTTCACCCTTGAGGTTGTGTCAAATGTAATGTGCACATAGCTATCTTTCCCCAGTACTTTCAAGGCAATTGTGCAATTCAAAGGCTGCCTCTGTCTGACTTGGATGCTTTGGGTACTAGCTGTATTAATTTCTTCATTTCAGTTTTGTAATCTGTGGTAAAAGAATGGAGTAAATTAACTCAAGAGAGAGGCGGGATTATAGAGAGGAAAGAGATCTGGGTTCTAATCCTGGCTCGACCAGTAAATTAGTCTGTAATTTAGGACAAAGATTTCTCACTTTGGATCCTCTAGGTCGCCTGAATCAGGTAATGTAAGGTTCGTGGCAGTGATAATTCCAGGACATTGAGGCCTGCAGAGTCTAAGAATGAGAATTCAAGGAGCTCAGCACTCTAGAAAATGTCTTGTGCTGCAGGCTCTGTACCATTTTGCACAAATGACCTACTGACCTCTGGCCAGAAGACTGGAAGCCTAAGGAAGGCATCTGGATTGGTAGGGGGTAAGGAGACTGTGGATTTCCAGACCATGGGAATTTAAAGCACTCCTATTTTTTTTAATTTTATTTTAATTCTTAGCCTGACTAGAATTCCATTTCTGCTCCCCCCTTAGTAGAAACAAAAAAGTACAGAAGAAAAAGTAAAGCATAAATTCAAGAGTGGAACCGTAACATGCCAAATGTTAGTGGGGACATGTGCCTCCCCCTTAGCAGGGACTCCACCTATGGACCTGTTTTCCATCTAGGCTCCATTTGATAGCCAGAGCCTCGGGCTGCACCCGTTTATTCCCATATGCCTCTCGGTTACAGAGGTCTGGGTTCTTTTCCAGTTAGGTGAGACTCTGGTCCACATTTGGCTTACTTTGCAAATGTTTCTCTAGACTTTTTAAGAACGCACCCAGAGGTCCATACTGAATGGCCAGGCTGGAGAAAGATCTAGAAACCATGCTACATGAAGAATTGTCAAAGGAATTGAATTGATAATATTTAGCCTAGAGGGGAAAAATGATAATTGCCAGCAAATATTTGAGAAGTTGTAATGAACCGGATGAAGCAGATCTATTTTATGAAGTATTCTGGCATTTGGCGGTAAGCTGCAACAGATAAATTGAAAGCCATTCAAATCCTAGAATTCTATTCTTTCCATTTCTAATTCTACATCTCCCATTTCTATTATTTCTAATAAGAAACAAGAAAGCCCTTCTTATATAAATAGCACATAGGAAAGAGAGAAAGTAAATCATGGTCCCAACCAAAGTGTTGGTAGCAGAGATGACATATTCAGAGTAACTGAGGAAGTTTAAACAAAGGGACTATTTAAAAAGGCTTGGGGTGGGGGTTCCTCGCTAGCTCAGTCATTAGAACATGCGACCCTTGACCTTGGGGTCTTAAGTTCAAGCCCCACATTGGGTGTAGGGCTTACTTAAAAAGAAAAAAAAAAGAATAAGGTAAAAAAGGCTTGGGAAGGGTTAAGGCGTATCTATAAAAGGTAGGACAGTAACTTGGGGCTAGCAACAGTGTTGGGGCTACAATGCTTCCAGCCTTACACCTGACAGAATCCCAGTAGGTCTTCTCTATAAGAAAGGCCCCCACGAGGGCTATGGAAGGACACAGCCACCCCACAGTGATCCTGTGAGTAATCAAGAGGGGCTGGGGGTGAGGTTTATCAATAATCCAGTATTATTCTTCTTCCATTCTCTCCTCTCTTGTTGATGCCTCCCATTGGTTAAACCCAGTTGGAAGTCGGAAGACAAAGGAGCCCACTGATGTGGTCTAAAGTTCACTTCCAACAGCAGGGATCAGGTGGAGAAGGGTGGAGAGTGGATGTGTAGGGGAGAATGGGAACCATCCAGCGGGGCACAGTATGAAAGAACAGAAGCCCTTTGTCCACCAGCAATTGTTAGTTGGGGTTGGGAAATAAGCCTGGGTATGTGTAAAACCTGTGAAGGTAGAGGAAGGACAATGTCAAATAGAAGAACACAATAGACAAAAGAGAACAATAGCAAGAGGAAGTTATCGTAGCATTTAAGGGTCTGGAGAATTTCTGGAAATGTTCTGACACTTTCTCAATAATAATAACCACTGAGGATTTCTTGTGAAAAACACAGAATTTGGGCCCCATTCCAGATTTTCTGAGTAAAGGTCTCCACGGGTGAGAGCTCAGAATCTTTTGTTTTCAAGAGGGCCTCCAGGGGATTCTTATAATTGTGTCGGTTTGAAAACACTGATGTGGTCCAAGCCTACATTGTGAATGTTAGGAATTAGAGAATTCTCGTTGCCACCCAAGTGACTGATATAGCTGGCTCCACGTGCCCCTCATAACGTATGTAATAGATGTGACAATAGGAGCTAACATTCGGGTGTCCTGACTCTTGGATTGACAGAATAGACATGCCTCGTGACTTCAGACCTAACCCAGTTAAATGGTTCTCAAATTGCACAGAATGTCAGAGAGTTTGGAAGGTAAGTGTTAGACTGAAGCAGTTCCAAGAACTATAGGGCCAAACAGGCACCATGACCCCCAGGGTGAATCTCTTGCCATTGTGTCCCATGGTGGTCACCCTTATTCTCTCCCTGTCCTCATCTTCCTCCTCTGACTGGAGTAGGGGGGACCAGGGAGGGAAGGAGCTTTGTCTCAGCAGGTGGAGACAGTGACCTTCACTCACCCTCCACCATTTTCTATTTGTTCAGATTATTGGGTAGAAGTTGGGGTTGATGGTGCTGGTGATGTAAGCACCAACCCCCATTCTAGAGCGAAGTAGCATTATCATCAGAGAAGAAAATAATGTGTAAGGAGAAAATGCTCCTCTGGAGCGCCTTACCATAGGCAAATAAACACAGTTGTTATTGAAGAATTGGAACTGTACAGTTGGCCTCTAATTTTTTTCTTTGCACAATGAGAAAAACAAGAATCACCATACACTGAGGAAAGGAGGGAAAGTATTTTCTCAACAACTAAAGAAGGGAGGGGAAAACACACATAGACAAGGATAATCCGTAACACTTAAGATTTTGCGCAAGAGGAAAACCAATCACTTGAGACTGACCAACACAACAACTAATATTATGACAACTAAGCAAATATGACACTGACTTGTTTTAAAGAGAGAAACAGAAAAGGACTTACATTTTAGAAAAGGCTAGAGGGAAAGACTTAGGTTACAAAAATTGTGTGCTTGTGTAAACTAGTGTAGTGCTTTCTGCAACTCTAAATGAGTTATTTGACTCTTTATTTTTTAAGGGCAGAGTCAGACTGATGAAAACTGGAATTTAAAAAAAAATCATGTAAGACTGATGAATCATAGACCTGTACCCCTGAAACAAATAATACATTATGTGTTAATAAAAAAAAATAAAGTACAACCACTGGTTAATGACCCTTAAAAAAAAAAAACAGGGGCACCTGGGTGGCTCAGTTGGTTAAGCGACTGCCTTCGGCTCAGGTCATGATCCTGGAGTCCCAGGATCGAGTCCCACATCAGGCTCCCTGCTCAGCAGGGAGTCTGCTTCTCCCTCTGACCCTCCTCCCTCTCATGCTCTCTGTTTCTCATTCTCTCTTCTCGCAAATAAATAAAATCTTAAAAAAAAACAAAAAACAAAACAAAAAACCCCCAAGAATCATAAACTGATGATCCACATCAGTCTCACCATGCTCTTATGGCCAAACAATCAGGAGGCGAGTTCTGCCCCACTGTGCTGCATAGGATCTGCTAGACAGCTTCTTGGGCTCAGTGTTTGAGAATAAAGCAAAGATAAAGCAAAGATATTGGACTAAATAACTGTCGAGGTCCCTTGCAGTATAAAATTCTAGAAATCAAGTGATAAATCTGAGCATATTTCAAACATGAACAAACCATTCTCTTTCCTGCCAGAAGTCCCAAGGCACTGCGGTCCCAGCTCTTTTCATGTATAATACTGCCGTGTGCTGTAATGAATGAACACCTCAAGGACACTTGGAAGATTCTCTTGGAAAACTTGTAAATCCATAGAGCTACCTCTGAATTTGTTCCCATTCACTGATCAATTCCAATTGTTGTACACCTTGGGTATTCATGTGTATCAAGTGCATGCTTATTCGTGCCTAAGATAAACATTTAAAAGAGTATACACAGGAACAAGGTAAGTCTCATTTTCACCCACTGCCCTCTGTCTCCTGCCCATTCTCAGGTAATCCCTGTTACTAGTTTGTTGCGAATACTTCCAGAGACAATCCTATGTGCACACATTTTTTTCCTTTGCACGATGACCACCTACTATAGTCACTGTTCCGTACCTTGCTTGGTCACCTATCTTGGAGACTGAGGGACGTTTGGGATGTTTTTATTTATTTATTTTATTTTTTAGCTCTTTATTTATTTGAGAGAGACAGAGAGAGAGAGAGCACAGAGGGAGAGTGAGAAGGAGAAGCAGACTCCCTGGTGAGCAGGGAGCCCAACGTGGGGCTTGATCCCAGGACCCTGAGATCATGACCTCGAAGGCAGATGCTTAACCGACTCAGCCACCCAGGTGCCCTGATTTGGGATGTTTTTATTTTTATTTATTTATTTTTAAAGATTTTATTTATTTATTTGAGACAGAGAGAATGAGAGAGAGAGAGAGAGCAC